CTCCCGGCGGCGCCACAGGCGCCGGACGCCGACGCGGGGCTTTACTTAGTGCGCTTCTCGCTTCCGCCTCGCGTTCGCACCGCTGTGGCGGCCGCCGAGCGGCACGGCCCCGTGGCTCCCGCTGGCCATGCCCCCTCAGTCTGTCGCCATCTTCCGCTGTGCGGAGAACACCTTGAGAGCCCGTGTGCGAGTGTGTTTGGGGGGGAGCGGGGCGGAGAAAAAGGCACGAAGAGGAGGAGGGAGCGGGACCGGGGCCCCGACTGCGCCTGCGCTTCAGGACTCCCCCTCACCCCCCCCCACCCCAGCCCCCGCCGGCCGCAGCCTGTGCTGTTTGGGGATGTTTCCAGTCCACCCCCAACTCCATTCACTTCAGCGCCTCCGTTCATCCGCCCGCTCCCCGCGTGCACACGCTGTACGCTGAGTCCCAGGCCCCGGCGCTCCCCCTCCCCCGCCAACCAGGGCGTCCGCCTCCCTCCCTGGGGCGGCCGCTCACTCCCCCCGAGGGCTAGGGGACTTCTGAGGGTGATGGTTAGAGGCAGAAGGCAGGAGGCACCTCCTTAGCGTCTCGCTGCCTCCCTGGGTCGCCTCCCCCGTCCCCGTGACTAGGCGACGCTGGAGCCGGCTGCGGATCGGACCAGTCCCATGTCCCTAACTCCGCTGTCGCCCTCACTGTCCTGCCCGAGGCCAAGGTGGTCCCTGGTGCTGAAGGACAGCGCCCAGTTTAGCTGCCGCAGAGGACAGAGCTTGGAGAGCGTCCTGGAGGGGGCAAGACAGTGGGCTGAGATGTATAGTAGCGATGGGGAGTCGTTTTTGCCCTTAGTAAGATTTCCAGCAGCCTCTCCCGCGTCCTAGCTTCCTGGCTCCCCCTACAGGCCGCTGAGAATAGCTGAGCGAGAGTTAGGGAAGCTGCGCCTCCAGGATGGAACCATGTGCTTTGGGCTCTCACAAGAGTCACATGGTAATAGGAACTCAGACGTACAAACGTCCTGCCGCGACACTAACCTTGTTTAGATTCCACCAAATCTCAGACTGATCCGGTTGTCTGCTTCCTTTTCTCACACCCTCCCACTCCCAGTAACTCCCACCTCTAATTTGTAATCAAACATTACCAGTAAGGATTTGTTAATATTAAAAAGAACAACAATAAAACAGTCTTTATTGAGCATTTACTAGGTGCTAGGTACTGTCCGAGGCACTTTACCTTCATTATTTCATTTAATCTTCACAACAATCTAATGAGATAGGCACTGCTGTTATCTTCATTTACGTATGAGTAAGCTGAGGTTCAGAGTGGTTAGGTTGCCTAAAGTCATACAGCTAGTAACCAAAGAAGCCGAGAGACAAACCCAGGCAGTCTGGCTTTAGAGATCTCAACACTCCAGTAAAGCCCTGGAAAGATGAATTGGTGGAAGACAGTCCTGCCTTCAAGGAAATTGTAGTCTATGTAAGAAATACACAGATGAGGCATATATGTTGGCTAGTGGGAGTATTCATGGGCTGGAGACTTGGGTTCAGGTAATAGTTCTACCATGTGCCCAGAATATGCCATGTGCCCTTGAGAGGGTCCTTTCTCTCTGTGAGTTTTGGTTTTCCTCTGAGTAGCACGGAAGGATGCCAAGGGCCGAATGAGATGGGTGTGTATCATTAGCACTACTCTGAGGTGGGCTGGAGTGGATGCATGAAAGGTTTCTGGAAGATGGAGAACTTGAGCTGGTTCCTCAAGCAGTAGCAAGATTTAGGTGGATGGGTGGGTGGGAAAGGCATTCCAGGTAAGAAGAATGCAGGTGAAAAGTTTCAGGGATGAGGAGGAGCCTAGTATGGTTGTGGAGCCATGGGTGTGACAGGTTGGCTGTATTGGTGGTGAGAGCTTGTGGGGAAGAGTAAAGGGACATAAGACAAGGGACAAAACGTCAGGCATTTGGGAGACCTATTCATTATATTCCAAGCACTCTGCTGGGGACTAAGTAGGAGACTGAGGTGGATCAGATGTGGCCCTGCCCTTGAGACACTCACAGTTGAATTAGGGAGGCAGACATTTTAGAGAAGGAATCACAACCCAGTGTAATAAGGATGATATGAGTGGGAGGGAGGAGAGGTCTCCCTCCCACACAGGAAGGGGCTGATCAACTCTGCTGGCTTCCCTTAGAGGTAACTTTGCACACAGACACTTGATTTGGGGGCATTCATTCATTTAAGTATTCAGCAAACAACTGTTGAGGATCTGCTATGTTCCAGACATTGTATTAGGCATCTGAAATATAGACAAGAGTAAAATACGTGTCTTGGGCTAAGAGAGTTTATTCAAAATCTTAAGGGATGAGTAAGAACTGGCTAGACAGATAGGAGAGAAGGTGGTGTGTGAAGGATGTCCCAGGCAGAGGGAATGTCATGTGTAAAGGCAGAGGAGCAAAGCCAAGAATGGCATGCTCAGAAACCTGCAAAGGAGTTCACTGTGACTAGGTGTGAAATGGGAGCACTGCCAAAAATGAGGCTGAGGATTTGGCAGGAGCTAAATCATGAAGGGCCCTGGGTGTCATGCTAAGTAGTTTGGACTTTATCCCAAGGGTACTAAGAGCCACGGGAGAGGTTGAAAGGGTTTCAGCAGGATGTGACACACTCAGCTTTTATTTTCAGAAGATTCATTTGGCTGCTGGATGGAGACTGGGTTGGGCAGGGTTGGGGGTGGGTCGGGGGGACTCGAGGCAGGGAAACTGGTGAGGAGACTGGTTAATAGTCCAGGTCAGGGGTGTTGAGGGCTGAACAAACACAGCAGCAGCAAGAGTGGAGAGAAGAAATGCACATGGGAGGGAAATGGCAGAGGTTGAATTGAAAGAACCTAGGACTGGCCTAGATGTAAGGAATCAAGTAGAGACAGGGCCTGAAGAAGGAGGATGAAAGCAGAGGGTTTGAGTTAGTGACACTGGCCCGACTGCCCCTGCTAACTTAGGAACTGTGTTTCCAGAGCCCTTCTTTGTTTAGTCCTTGGAAGGTACAGTGTTCTGTTTAACAAAGAAGGCTAATCGCTTACAGATACCTAGTTCAGAGCTGATTGGCAGGACCACAGTGATTGACACCCTTGAGTACCAATGAAAGAGCAGCCTGCCAGGCCTAGGCTATCAGCTCTGAGCACCTCTGGAGCTTTCTGTGAGGAGTCACTCAGGCAAGACTCCCTCCCTCTCCCCCAGCACACACAGGGTGAAAAGTGTCTTACAAAGGTCCATTTATCACAAGAGCACAATATAACAATAACTTACCCACACAGTACCCGCTGCACACAAAGGAGAGGTGGTAGCACACCGGCAGTCAGAGGAAGTTCTCATTCTCTTGCTTTAGATGACACAAGAAATTAAAATGGGGGAAGGGATGGTGTTGGCCTCTAATCAGGTCCCTGGAACAGAATAGAGGAGGGAGGGTAAGGGGAGAGGAAGGGGGGACTGCTGCTCCCCAGAACTAGTGGGCCCTGGCCAGCCTTCTTCCCAACCCTTTCTCTCTACCTGTTCCCAGGTAAGCAGAGGCTAAAGCCAGAGGATAAAGGAGGGTCACTTCTGAGGGGGCCCAGACTGCCCAGGAAGAGTGATAGAGTGCCCTCAACGCGGGAAGAGAACTTGGAGTACAGGGAGGACGGAAAGGTTTTTTTTCCACAGTGAAATTCCAGCAATTAGGCAGAAGAAAAAGTGGGGAGCCATTTAAAGAGACCACTGGGCTTACATAGGGAGCTTTCTGTTAAGCTCAGATCTTAAAAGGTCGTGGCCAAAAGATGGAAATGAGAGCACGTAATTATGGATGAATCTAAGAACCCATAAGAAGGGTGTCCGGAGGGCTAAAGCACAGCTTGAGCTGAAGCTGGTCAGGCTTTGACTGGGTCCCCCCACCCTGTCCCCCTCCTCCCTCCATAGTTGGAGTAATTTTCCTCCCACCTGCAGGCTATACCTGTCCTAAGGCAGGAAGGGTTGAAGGGTTCTACCATGCACACTGTTACTCAGCATCAAATAGTCTTTTTGCTGCCAATCTGAGTCTGATCTCGTTTCCACTGGGCTTATTTTACTCCTCGATTCTAATCCCTGGCCTCTGTCTCATATTCTGGGTCTGAGTCCCCCAATTAGAGACCCTGCTCTTTTAGTCCACCATCTAGGGAGAAAGTCCTGACCGCAAACCCCAACGCAGTGGCTGAAGCCTGTTGGCCTACTGATGGTCTTCTCTGATCCTTACTGTCCACTGGTAATTATAAATATCTAAATGCCTCTAGTCATGTTTGCCCTCCATTTGGATCCCAGTTTTCCTATGTTATAATCCTATGTCAGTTAGGTATGCTTTGGGCTGCAAATATCTTAGACAATTCTACAACAGTGGCTTAAATAGATAGAAATTTGTCTCATGCAACAAAAATTCCCTGGGTACATGGCCCAGGGCTGGAAGGCAGTTCAACAATGCCATCAAGACCCCAGCTTTTCACTCCACCATCCTTAGGGTAGGCTTTCATCTACTTGCTTTTTGCCTCATGGTCACAAGACAGCGGCTGCAGCTCCGAGCCTTATGTCTGTATTAGAGACAGAGAGAAGGGGAAACAGCCACAGGGCAAGAAAGCTCAGGACAGTGGGCCTTCTAGAGAGGCTTTGCCATTTTATTCCAAATGTAACACTCTCCCCAGTGAGATCCACATACATTTCTTTGACACTCATGGCTACAAAGGAAGCTGGGAAATCCAGTCCTTTTAGGCTGGGCACATTGCTGCTCCGAGAAAAGTTAAGATTCTGTAAGTAAGCAAGAAAGGGAATCCTTACTGAGCAGGCAACTGGAAGCATCTTCCGTGAACCCCAACCACCAACTGCTTGCCTGGACCACCTTTCTTTTATTACTAACCTCCACAGATACTGGGCTTTGACTGCTGGACTTGACTTCTTCACAGCAACTACAGCTGGTTTGTTTCTCTAGCAGATAGAAGAGACCTGCCTAGTTTAACAACAGCACATGTGAAAAAGACCTTGATTTGATTGTAAAGTCAGTGCAAGCTAACAGAGTGATGATGCTGCCAAAGGAGGTAATTAGATTTTCAGCTGCATTAATAGAAGTATAGAACCAGAACAAGAGAAAAGATGGTTCTGCCCTTCTCTACAATTGTCACATCCCAC